GTTCACAGTCCTGCACTATGGGTTACCTAACATCCGAAAACATGGTTTCTAGATTTCTAGTTTATGGCATGAGGGTTACTGAGTCGTAACTGGAAGTGGCCACAAACACTTCTTTGTTTTAATGAATTCTGCATTTTTTATTTCATTTTGCCATTTTTGCCATCAGATGAAATGATTAATAATGATGCTGAAGGGGCGCCTGGGTGGCTCAGACGGTTAAGCGTCTGCCTTCGGCTCAGGTCATGATCCCAGGGTCCTGGGATCGAGCCCCGCATGGGGCTCCCTGCTGGGCAGGGAGTCTGCTTCTCCCTTTCCCTCTGCTGTTCCCCCTGCTTGTGCTCTCTCTCTCTCTCTCTGTCAAAAATAAATACAATCTTTAAAAACAATAATGATGCTGAAGATGGAGGTGAAGGTGGCCACAGCTCTTTGGAATATGGATGGAGCTCAAGCGGATTTAAAAGTTATGAAGAACAGAGTGACTCAGAGTACCACAATGGGGTCCCCAGGTCCTTCCTGCGCAGTAACCACCAAAAGCAAGTATGTGTTCAGTCTGTGTAAGAGACAGAATATCTCATGTTTTGTTTTCTCAAGTTTTTATTTAAATTCTAGTTAGTTAACATATATGGTTTCAGGTGTAGAATTTAGTGATTCATCGCTTACATAGAACACACCCAATGTTCATCACAAGTGCCCTCCTTAATACCCATCACCCATTTAGTCTAGCCCCCATGCACCTCCCTCCATCAACCCTCAGTTTGTTCTCTGTAGTTAAGAGTCTCTTATGATTTGTTTCCCTTGCTCTCTCTTTTTTTTTTTTTCCTTCCCCTATGTTCATCTGGTTTATTTCTTAAATAAAGAGGTGCCTGTGTGGCTCAGTCATTAAGCCTTTGGCTCAGGTCATGATCCCAGGGTCCTGGGATCGAGCCCCGCATTGGGCTCCCTGCTCCGCGGGAAGCCTGCTTCTCCCTCTCCCACTCCCCCTGCTTGTGTTCCCTCTCTCGCTGTGTCTCTCTCTGTCAAATAAATAAATAAAATCCTTAAAAAAAAAAAAACTCCACATATACGTGAAATCATACGGTATTTGTCTTTCTCTGACAGACTTATTTCCCTTAGCATAATACTCTCTAGCTCCATCCACATCATTGCTAATAGCAAGATTTTGTTCTTTCTGATGACTAATATTCCACACCACATCTTCTTTATCCATTTATCAGTTGATGGACATTTGGGCTCTTTCCAAAGTTTGGCTATTGTTGATAATGCTGCTATAAATATAAACATCTGAATCTGTATTTTTGTATCCTTTGGGTAAATACCTAGTAGGGCAATTGCTGGGTTGTAGGGTAGTTCTATTTTTAACTCTTTGAGGAACTTCCATATGACCACACTTATTAAATGTGCATTAAACTAGCATTTCAGCCTCCATTCTAGTTTCTAAGATACCAAGTTGAGTGTGAGTCCATCGGCATGTGGTAGAGGAAGTGAAACTCAGAGTAGGGAAATAATTTGCCTAAAGACAAGCTGTTGCTGGAGCTAGGAGTAGTGCCCAGGTGTTTTGTGCTCTTAGGCTGACCTTTATGCTCAAACCATATCACCTTTTCCTGGCTTAGCTCCTCTGAGCACTCCCTCCCCCTCAGTTCCTGTCTTCTAACATTTGTAATACTGACTCCCCTCCAACACCTCCCCCTACCTTCTTTCAGACTAGCTGGGAAAGGTCTTTCAGGCCCAGTGCATCAGACCATTTAGAAGGACCAAGACCCACTCCATCACAAGCCAGTGGGATGAGCTTTCTGATTCTCCCCACTTTGACATCTGCCTCAGATTTCCCCCAAAGGCCCCTCTTACCAGCTCGCAACAAGAGGAGACCACATCTGTGAAATTGTGTTGTGACCAGCAACACTTAAGCAATTGGGATTCATCAAAAAACAATTAGAGTAGAAAACATCTGCTTC